CCACCCTGGGGGCACAGACTAACCGTCAGGCTACAGAGGGAAACATGTCAACCTCTGCCTGAACAACCATTTAATTAACGTGAAACAGCTTCCCCAGGCAAGAGGGAGGAAACCCCCCCCAGTGCAGAAGCTGAAAAAGCAAAGAACATGCACCAGGCCTGCCTTAGAGACTGAACTCAAGGCTTTTTCATGATCAGCAGGAGGGATGGGGGGAAGAGAAGGGGGAATTGAACCCACAGCACCCACATCTAGGCCAACCACTGGACTAGGGAAGAAGCAATGGCGATAGCTTTGCCCAAACAATAGTTAATTAATGTGGAAGCACAGCTACGGGCAAAAAGCAAGGGACCTGCCCACCACAGAACTGCTGCTAATATCTTTTCAGAGGCTCTCCAACAGGCAAAGAGAGGATTTGAACCCACAGTGGCCACAACCTAGCCCCGTAGCCTACTCACAGGACTACCCAGGAAGCTGCTGGTGTGTCTGACCCAAATAATAGTTCATTAAAGTTGAACAGCTTCACGAGCAAGAGGGGGGGGGATCACAAGACCCCTATCGCTAGAGCCACAGAACATAGACAGGCTGTAGAAAAGCCCTTTTCAAACCCCCCAACCTGCCCAGCAGGGAGAAACAGGATTTGAACTAGCCAGACTCATAGTCCCTCTGTGAAGCCTAACCACAGGCTCAGAGAGGGAACCACAGCCTTTACCTACCCCCAGTAGCCTTTAATTAAAGTGTAACAGCTTGAGGGCGCTCCCATCACTGTAGGCCAGGACCCAATGATTAGGGCACTCAGCCGGGCGGTAGGTGAGCCCTTTGCAAATCCCTCGCGCTCATCAGGCAGAGGGGAGAGTTAGGAACATGAATGGGCAGATTGCATCAGACCAATGGCCCAGCTAGCCCACTGACCTGTCTTCTGACAGCGGCCAACGCTGGCTGCTTCAAAGGCAATGAACCGAAGAGGCCAGTTATCAAGCGATCCATCCTGTCGGCTCCTCCCAGCAGCTGGCAGTCAGTGGGCTAAGGATGCCCCAAGCACGGGGCTACCTCTCAGATGGTCTTGGCTAATAGCCACTGATGGACCCATTCACCATGAACTTTCTCATTCTTTTTTTTCAAACCCACTTACAGTTTTGGCCTGCCCCATGTCAATTGGCAACGAGTTCCACAGGCTGACTGTGTGTTGCGGGGCGAAGTACTGCCTTTGGTTTGGGTTAAACCTGCCGCCTACTAATGCCAGCGAGTGACCCTCCCCCCCAGTTCTTGCGTTGCGTGAAGGGGTAAATAACACGTCCTGAGTCACGTTCTCTACCCCAGTCATGATTGTCTAGATCTCTATCAGATCCAACCTTAACTGTCTCCTTTCCCACCTGAACCTGAAGCAGCCCCCGACCCCCATCACAGGTGAGGCTCCCTAACCACTAGGTTAAACGTTACATGGGAGGCCTCTGCTTCCTTCTCCCTGGGCTGTTTTGCGGGGCGTTCGGCAGGTCCCTAACCATCTCACACGAAGTGGGTTAGGCACCTAAGTCACCTGAGGGGTTCCTGGCCGTGGCCGGCAAGCAGAGGTTGGGAGGGGAAGACGCTGGGTCAATTTCCTTCTCCCCGCCTGATGAGCAGGGATTTGAGGAGGGCTCTGCATTCGCTCAAGCGTGAGCCCCAATACTGAAGTAAAGGCCAGCCTGAGGAGGCTCGCTCGTTGTAGCTCGTCAAGCCTGTGCCATGTTCATTCAGTAGTAACTGGCGAGCCCTCTTCTATAAATCCCTCTCTAGTCCAGTGGTTTGGGTACTTACCCAGCATGTGGGTGATGCTAGTTCAATTCCTTTCCCAGCTCCCTGAGGAAGGACTTAAATAGCCTGTTCTGAATTGAATATCCAGCTGCTGGATTAAGAGGTGTTCTCCTGGGGAGCTTGGGCCCCTTGACTTTTTTCTTCTGCTGAAGCTGTTCCACTTACATTACATAGTCCTGGGGCCACACCCCCACCCAGCAGCCCAGTATAGCCTGGGGGTTGTGGTGCATGCCTAGCATGTGGGCAGTTGGGGTTCAAAACCCCCTTCTTCTTGCTGAGAAGGGATTTGAACCTTGATCTCTTGCCTCTCAGATGAATGGCCTAAGTGCTGGGCTAGGAGGTTTTTCCCATGTGGGTACTCTCTTAGTCTTGTCTGTTGAAGGAGGGTCACTTTGGTTACATATTCATTGGGCCAAAAGCAAAGCCAGCAAGTCTGGGTAGTCCAGTGGTTGGAGTATGTACCCAGGATATGGGAGGTTGGTGGTTCTCATCCCATTTCTTCTTGAAGAGAAGGGAGTTGAGTATTTACCTCTTAAATGAATGTTCTAAGTGCCTAGCTAGGAAGTAGTGGGATGTGGGGGCGCTCTCTGTCTTTTCTGTTGAAGGTTGGCCACTTTCAGTAACGCTTACATGAGAATTGGGCCAGTCACTCTCTGTGACTCCCTGGGTAGTCCTGTGGTTTGGCTACTTGCCCCCCAAACTGGTGAGCTGTTGGTTCAAACCCCCTTCCTCTTTGTTGAGAAGGGTTGGCCCCTTGATTTCTTGCCTCACAAGTGTTCCACTTTAACTCTATATTAATCCGGGCAAAAGACTTGCTCAAGTCCCTCTATGGTACAGGGGTTAGGGTGCTTGCTTAGATTGTGGGTGACCCTGGTTCAACTCCCTGCTCTGTGGGACAGGAGGGACTCTGGTGTGTGAGAGGAGATGCCTCCTACCTGAGCAAGAGGCCTATCACAGGGCCTCTTGCTCTTTTAATTAAAGAGGCTTTGCTGCTGAGCAGTAAAATCCCCCTCTCACTCTTGTCCACCATGATCAGGATACACGCCCAGGTTGTGGCAGACCCCAGGGCACTCCCCTGCTCTTTTGAGGGGTGTGAACTGGGGGCCGCCACCTCCTGGGGAGAGTCACTGGTGAGCGATCCCTGTCCAAATCCCCTCTCCGTCCCAAGAAGACAATGGCCTCTTGAGAAAGAGAGGGGGTTCAGACAAGGATGGCCCACCATAAAGGACAGTCACCTAGGAGGCAGGAAATCCCTGTGCAAATCCCTGCTGAACAAGCAGCTGGGGGATTTGAACCAGGATCTCCCACAACCCAGGCAAATATCCTAACCACTGGACTAGAGAGTGAGGGTAGCAGTGAGGCTGGCCCAGAGCACATTTAACTAAAGTGGAACAGCTTCAACAGACAAGAAAGAGGCAGGCAACCCCCTCACTATTACAGACCAGTCAGGGACACATACCAGTCAAGATTCAAACCCACATCTCCCACACCCCAGGCACATACCGTGACCATCAGCCTACAGACAGTACTGTAGCACACTGAGGCCCAAATACCATTTAATTAAAGTGGAACAGATTCCACAGGCAAAAGCAAGGACAGCAATAAGGACACACATCACAGTTGCTAGAGACACCTCTTCATGGCCCTTTGTAACATGCAGAAGGAGTATTTAAATCTACAGCATCTCCCACCGCCTAAGTAAGCAGCCTAACCACTGGACTATACCAGGAGGCACAGGTTTTTGCTGGCCCAAATAATATTTAATTAAAGTGGAACAGCTTCACAGGCAAGACTGAGGGAGCCCCCATCACAGTAGCCCACAGCCCAATAATTAGGGCACTCACCTGGGCGGTAGGTGAGCCCCCTTCAAATCCCTTCTCCTCACTAGTCAGAGGGGTTACGGACATAAGAACGGCCAGACTGGGTCAGACCACTGATCCATCTAGCCCAGTAACCTGTCTTCCAACAGTGGCCAATGCCAGACATTTCAAAGGCAATGAACAGAAGTAGGCAATTATCAAGGGATCCGTTCTCTGTCGTCCTTGTCCAGCATCTGTCAGTCAGAGGTTTTGGGTCTCCCAGGTCATGGGGCTGCAATCCTGCCCATCTTGGCTAATAGCCATTGATGGACCGATCCTCCACAACCTTGCTAATGCTTTTTTGAACCCACCTATCGTGTTGGCCTTCACAACGTCAACCGGCAACAAGTCCTACAGATTGACAGTGCGTGGTGTGTGAAGTAGTGCTTTTAAAGCAGCTGCCTGTTAATTTCATCAGGTCACCCCTGAGTTTGGGTTACGTGAAGGGGTAAATAACACATCCTTATTTACTTGCTCCACCCCATTCATGATCTTATAGACTTCTATCACATCCCCCCCGAGTCATTGCTTTTCCAAGCTGAAACTGAAACAGAGTCCCCCGCATCACAGGGGAGGACCCAACCACAAGGCTAAGTTACACAGGAGGCCCTTGTCTCTCCCCCATGTCCCCTGGATTGTTTTGTGGGGCATTAGACAAGTATCTAACAATCTCACCAGAAACAGGTTAAGCACCTGAGCCTGCCCATGGTCTACACTGCAGAGCCAGGTCCACGTAAAGCAGCTATGGCGACCTAACTCTGTAAGAGTCTACACTAAAATGTCGCTCCCACCAATGAAACTTGCCCAGGACACTGACTTCATAACTCCACCTCTGCCAGCAGGGTCGTGCTCAGGGTGATGTAGTTAGATCGAGGCAGTGTCAGTGTAGACCCTGCATTGCTGACACCGACCCGGTGCTGCCGTGCAGAAGCCATCTCACACTGGCAGTGCAATTGGTGCAAGCGCTCCTGGTGAGGCCGTGCACCGACACAAGGAGCGCGGTGTGGATGTGCAAAAGCCGGCTAAGTCCCGCAGTGGCTGCACCGCCAGGCAACTCGGGGCAATTCATTTCATCATGCCGCCTTGCCCTTTAAGGGTTTTTCCCTCGGTCTGTTCCCGTAAGGAGCCGCTTCTCGCAGCTGGGCCAGGTGAGCCAGCTAGCCCCAAGGCTTGGCAGCTCAGCCAGGAGCTCCCTCCCACACTTTGCCCAGGCTTCGCCCCGGCTTCGGGCTTGCCTGGGGGGGCTGCCGCGCCGGCTGGAAGCAGGCGGGGCTCCGCGGGAGGGTCTGGCCATCTGGCACTAATTAAAACGCGCCCAGCCCCCGCACGTGGGTTTCCGGAGATTGCACTGCCCCGGAGTTTTCCCCTTCAGCCCCTCATCTGCCGCTAGCTACAGTAGCTTGAGCCCCCCTGGCCAGTAAATTTCTGCCCCCCGCTCAGACCCTGACAGCCCCCGGCTGCGATTTGCCCCACCCCCCCTTAATCCTTTTAAACCCCTCCAAAGAGAAGGCAGCAAATCGTAAGCAGAAGTGAGGGCAGTGGCAACAGGGAAGGTTACTGGGCATGCTCAGTACACCCAAAGTAGGGAAAGGGGAGTAGGGTCTGTTTGCGTCGGTGTTGGGCTGCTTCCCTCCGCCTTGATCTCCAGCTCTTCGCCTTCCCCGCGCACCTTCTCTGCCTCTCCGCTGCCCGGGGCCACGCCACGCCGCTCCTCTCTGCCCGTCCTGCCGATCCCGCACCGGCTCCCCAGCCATGGACCTCCCCAGCGCTGTGCCCTACGCCCGCCTGGAGATCCCCAACCTCGACTCCGTGCCCTCCTACAAGTACTGGTCCATCTTCAACATCCTCTGCTGCTGCTTGCCCCTGGGGCTGGTCGCGGTCTTCTACTCGGGACAGGTAAGGGCCCCCCCGCCCGGGGGGGGGTGGTCTGCTGGAGCAGACCTGCGCCCCATGAAAACTTCCCCTGCTCCTCTCTGGGAAGCGCCCAAAGACGGGGGGTTGGAGAGGGAGAGGTAAGCCTGGGCCCCGGGGGTAGCCTGGGGTTGGAGCCCTCGCTTCCCCTCCACCCGTTTCTTTGCTGCATGCTGGCGTTGCAGAGACTGCAGCTTCCCTCCCTGCGTTTGGGCTCTGGGGGGCAAGGCCTCCCGTTTGTTTTCCTCTCCCTTATCTCAGGGTGGGGTGCAAATGGAGCCTGCTAGTTTCTAAAGACACGGTTTTCGTTCAGTGCATGATTATTTATTTTTTTTAAAGTAGCGTTTTCTTGTTTCCAGCAAACTTTGCCTCCTCTCACGCTGGTGTGCAGACTGCATTGCTGGTCTGGGGGGTATTTCATAATTATCCTTTGAAGCCGCACAGCTGGCTTGCATGCGTTAGGGGGTGGGAGGGGGCTCTGAGTTTGAATTCTTCCTCAGAACTGAGAGTGAGTGGCATTCTGTGTATTTCTAATACTCCTGTGGCTGTAGGGGAGTTGGGGATGTATTCCCGGCTAAAACTCCGTGGCTGGGCGGCCCCAAACTGCCTGAAACCCTTTAAGCCTCATGCCCTGCACATCAACACCAGTATGCACACGCCCCAGTCATGTACTGACTGCCAGGCCTTGAGACCCATGTAACTTGCCTCAACCCAAAGTTTGTAGCGTAACGGTGGCCTCAATCTCAATGAATCACTCTGTGGATATTTTTTATGGCCTCTAAAATTTCTCTTGGTGAGACTCTTGCATGTTTTCTGCTTGGCCCTTGTCTGGGAATCTATGAACTAGACTATTCATTTTGGTGAAACTGCGTGTGATGAAATAATGGGGTATTCTGACAGATGGTTTTATAACCCCCGGAGTGCCAGAACTGCAGGAAGGTTCAAATATTGTACCTCATGCTCAGACATGGAGGAGGGCTGGGAAATCCGATGCTGAAATGCCTCGGGCTTTCTTAGATGAGCAGCCCCAGGGTATGCTAGATTGCTTGCTGCACTCAGGTGTGAGATGGCCTTGCAGGTGGACATTGTAAAATGCTACAGAACTTTACCGTTATAGAACATGAGTTGCTCTGTGCAGATCTCGCTATGGCAGCTCCCCTCCGGTGAGACTGTGCTGTGTGGAGACCAGCTGGAGCATGTCTTGACAGAGCTGTTTTATGAGTAACTTTTGTATGTGAGCAAATTTTGCATTCTTTGTGAATGAGATCCCTTATTCTTGACTGCCTGCTGGGCTCTGGTTACCCAAATTCAGGGCTGAGAAGGATCCACCTGCCCCCGTCCAATTCTTGGTATGCCTTCTCAGGATATCCGTCCTCACCCCTGGGTGCTGTGTGTCATATGAGGAAACCTTTCCCTTCCTGGGGAGGGAAACCTTTTTCCTTCTTCTCTCCAGAGCTAGAGTCCTCTCTGTGCCCATCCCCTTATGGGTCAGAACTCTGTGTCCTCTGTAGCAATCCTTGGTTGCATAACCCCTCAGTCACAGAACGCAGTGGCTTGGCCCTGGGCCACTGCCTCTAGCCTAGTGCATCAGAGCCAATGTGATGCAGATTGTGGGGTCCTGTGCAGAAGTCCTTCCCCTTTCCCGCTCTGACACGTTTCTCCCGTTTCCCAGGCATTGTGCAAGTGTTCTGAGCTGACCTGCTCTTTACAAGCAGTGAGGAGGAGCTGCCCCCACCTTCCTCCTAGCTCCTGTGGGCTAACAAAGCCTTCTGTTTGTTCTGCCCCAAGCTTGCCAAATCACCTCTTTATGAAATCTCAGTTGCAATGGCCCCTGATAGTTCTGAGTGATCTTTACTGGGGTCTGGGCTAAGGGCTCTGCAAATGGTTCTACCTTTGGCAGCTTTCTTCCATGTCTATCTCCCTTCCAGCACTTGATGTGATTTCACCCCTGGGGGTTCTACTAGGGTATGGGGCCGGGCTAGTGTCCTTCCACCCCTACAATGTGTCCCCCTTAACTTGCATTGGGGATGGGGTTTTTCTGTTCCCATGAGGAAGAGAAGTGGTGCACAGATGGCCGAGTGAACTCAGCCACATGTACATTGTATGCCTGATGCACAGGCTGTGGAACTCCCCTCCCTCTCAAGGCTGAATACCCTAGTAAACGCCAGACCTTTACCACTCGGGCTGGCTCTCCAGCTGGACGGTCGGTATGTTAGCCAGCCGTGCAGCACGGCCAGCCCCCTGGTGCGTGAAACCTGGGCAGCTTGTTCACTTGTGACCTGTTCCCAGAGACCGGAAGGGTTTTAACTCTTTGAGTCAGCTTGGGGCTGCCCCCTTTCCCAGATTATCCATTCCCCCTCGCTGAGCTGCACCTGCATATTCCCCTCACCTGGGTCCCAGGCTTGGGCCAATCCCCTTGGGCTTCCTTTAAGAACCAGGCCTGGTATCCACATACTCGTCAGCCTGTGGCACTGAGGTCTTTTGGCTTCCTCACCCTACCCACCTTTTAAGATCATGGTGGGGACAGATCCTAAATCTGTTCCAACCTGACCATTTCATACAGCTCCTCTTGGGGAGAGACTCCCCCTGCCTTTGCCCCGTTTGCAGAGGTAATGCCCCAGCTGAGTCGCCATCTCCTTCTAAGTCCTCCTCTTCTTCTTCAGAACCCCAACCCCTCCCAGGATCTTTTCCGATCAGCCTGGGGAGTCGGTTCAAATTTAAGGAGCAAGGCCACTTTAAATTGATCATAATCCTCAGAGACTGGCCTGGCCCTTTGGCTGTAGGCTGCTATGGCTTTTTACCTCCAGCAAGGGAGTGGGAAGACCAAGCCAATCCGCAGGGGGAAACCCGACAGCCTGGTGCTCAGCACAGGGCTCTGATACATCCCATGATGAGAAGGCCTTTTCCCTGTCTTGTACATGTAAATTGAATAATGTATGTCAATTAGCAACAATTTCCTAAGAAACCCCTTTGAATCCTGGAAGATGCTATCAGACCATATTGAGCCCCTTATGGTCCCGGTCAACAAGCCCTTTTGGGCTCCACTTCCTCCCCCTGCAGGAGCAGTTTTCTCTCCTCCAGCTGCAGCTTCTGCCACTCCAGGACCTGCTGAATCATGGAACCCGGATGGGCTCAGTCACTGGTCTAGGTTCTCTCTCTCTCTCTCTCTCAATAAATCTGGCCAAAATTACCTGACATTAATAACACTGAAGAATCTGCACCATTGTTATCGACTCTGGGAACTCTAGTATAGAAGGGCTGCTGCTCTTTTAAGCACCATGTCAACTGAGCTGGCTTGGGTCTAATTATTAATAATTGTTTGTATTGGGGTAGTGCCTAAGAGACCTAGTCATGAACCAAGGCCCCATTGTGCTCGGTGCTAGACAGACTCGGGGGGTGGGGGGAAGAGTCTCTGGCCCCAAAACCTTATAATTTAGGTCAGTGGCTCTCAATCTTTCCGGCCTACTAAACACCTTTCAGGACTCTGATTTTTGTCTTGCTGTGACCGGGGTCCCAGGGAGCCAACTGAGGTCACTCGATTTAGGGTGAACTGCAAAGACTGAGGCACCCAAAGCTGGTGGGCATTCCAGTACTTAAATCCACTAAGCTAGCCTCAAAACAGCTTCTGTAATACCTCACCGGTTACTCAGCAGCCAAAACAGTTCCCTTAAAGCAAGCTAGCCTTAGGCCTCCACCCAGACACCCAAATCAAATAGGATGAGGATTACTGAAAATCTTAATCATATAAGAAAGCTCTACCAATCCCAAAGGATCGGACACATTACCTCCCAGGTAATGAATATTCCAGATCTTACCCAGATACACACACACACTTACAGCCAATTTTTATTAACTAAACTAGAATTTATTAAAAAAGAAAAGAGTGAGTATTGGTTAAAAGATCAATAGACATACAGACATGAGTACCATTCTGAGATGAGTTTTATAGTAGAGATGGGGAGCTTTGTAGCTTCAAGAAGTCCTTTCAGAGTTAGTCCATAGGTTTTAGTCCAGTGTTCATATTCAAGATGATCCAGGTGGGACTGGAGATCTCAGATTCTGCATAAAGCATCAAGCAGATCTGATAAAAAGGATCAGAACCCAAGACACCTTTGTACAGTTCCCAGCCTTCCCTTGACAGTACAGAGTCCTTAGGTTAACAGGCAATCATCAAGACTTTGAAGTGGACCTATTTCCTAAGCATCACTGATAATTAACTAACATAAGGCATTTGCCTGTTTTCCACCATTCACAGGTGATTGCTATACATTTCAAAGCGAGATCAATACAGTGATATCACTATATTAACAGTTCATTTAAATGTTAAGATCTCATTTTGATCTCTGAAGTAACAGAATACAGCATAGACAGGAACCGTTTGGTTACACTGTCAACCTCAAACAATATCTATAACCACACAAAAATACAAACATTATGTAATAACATGTCCCTAGAGGTTGAATTTGGGTCATTTATCCTGCAGGATGCTTAACCCTTTCTGGTCATGTCACACTTGCGTACATCGTGTTTCACCTCCATTTAAACTACTTGCTTACAAAATCAGACCTAAAAAATACAAAAGCGTCCGAGCCCACTGTCACTGAACCATTGCTGACTTTCTCATTTTCATTATCAAATAACTCACTTGATATATATTGTACTTACATCTCAGCGTTCTGTTTATAGAGCAGTATAAACAAGTCATAATCTGTAGGAAATTTTAGTTTGTATTGACTTTGCTAGTGGTTTTTATGTAGCCTGTTGTAAAACAAGGCAAATTTCTAGCTGAGTTGATGTACCCCCTGGAAGATCTCTGCATACCCCCAGGGATACACATACCCCAGGTTGAGCACCACTGAGCTAAGTGATGCAGTGTGTAAAATAACAAGGAGTCTGGTGGCACCTTAAAGACTAACAGATTTATTTGGGCATAAGCTTTTGTGGGTAAAAAACCTCACTTCCTGGTGGACTGGTACCTGTAATAA